AACAATTTTATAAAAGTGAGTATTTGAATAGTCTATTTCTTTTCTCGGCATTATACAGTCCTAACAAGTATTAAGAAGTATTCTTTAAAACTATTTTTTTTATTTTACTTTAAACGATTTTTCAAAGCGAATGAAGAACATTTTGTTTATGTCCTTAGCATTCATATTGACGAAAAAGAAACTGTAGGCTTCATCATTAACAGCGGTATGATACATGTTTAACAGTTGTTGCTTATCAACAATGGCACTGTTTTCCTCAATGAAAGACATAAGTTCAGTAGCATTCTTCAATCTAAATATATATAACGAACTCGCATTCAAACGAATAATTGGTGCTAAAACATTGTATTTCTGTGTTGAGAGAATAAAAGAAATCGCATCATGTCTTCCTCTTGTTGCTAATCCATGGAGTAGTTTTGAATATCTCACAAACTTAGCATCATCAGCATGGTCATCTATCACGATTAAAATTGAATGTAGTTTCTTCATCTTCTGTTCTTTCATATAATGAATTATCTTTCTTTGTGTGTTAATTATTTCTTCCAGTTCTTCAGGTTGGTAGGTGTCATAATATAACTTTTCTTTTTCATCATCAACCTTCATATTATCTTTTTGATATTTCTTGACTTCAACGAAGGTAGGGTCATTATGAACCGACGGGCTAAAAATGAATATACGGGCGAAGCAGTCCCTATAAACATTTAGGATAAGGTTTTGAATTAAAACTGTTTTGCCACCCGTTGATGAAGCAACAACAATTGAGCGAAAAGGTAGTTTTGGTACATGTTCATATTTAGATTGTTTGAAATCGTAATCAGTTATATTTATTGGTTTTATTATTGGAACATCAGACATAATAAAATAATATTAAAGTTATTTAGAAAATATTTTATATTTATTATTTTATATGAATAGAAGTTATTCGGATTATATTGATATAATAGATAAAGTAGAAAATATAGAACAAGTAATAATAACCGATAATAAAATTAAGAAATGTTGTTATTATTCATTAGAATTAATTAAGTTAGGAATACAATATATTAAAAATATAAATATTAATATAGATGGGAAGGAAAAAAAGCAAAAATAATAAAACAGGTTTAAGTGTTTCTTCAACCAATGAAGAAAAAGAAGAAATTGTTAAAGAAACATCAGTTATTGAGTTTGCTTGTCCAATGTGTAAAAAGATGTTAGAAATGAAAAATGAATTAGAAATACAAAAGAAAGGACATTGTAAATGTTCGTGTATTCCAACAAGTTTCAAAATAAGTAAGAATGATAAGAAAATGAATATTGATAAAACTAAAGACAGTATAAACTTAGAAACAGATGTTCATAATATAACTTTTAAATGGGGTCGGCAAGCATCACCATCCGATAGTGGCGATAAGGAAACTCAGGAAACTGTTAAACAAATGATGAAAAAATAGTATTTAAAGAGTAGATTTAACATAATTGCAACATTTAGTTTTAAAAGTTTAGTTTTATAATTTAGTATATATGGAGGAACATTTAGCGAACATTGACAGTAGTTTAGAGTTGTTGTTTCCAAGATTAGAAAAAGTGTTGGAGCAAAATGAAAACATACTGAAAATCTTAAAGAGCTTGAATATTAAACCTACATATGATAACAATAACAATTATCAAGCAAAAGAAGTAGATAGAGACAGTAGCGAATACAAAAATAAACGAAACATTTATGTTAAAAAACTGAATGAAAAAATCATAAAAGAACCTAAACAATCAAGTCTGGATTACTATCAAGTCAAGTATAAAGAAGACACCAAGAAATACGTTTAATCATTAACTAACAAAATTTCGTGTCTCAAAAGCGGTTTGTTTATTTCTGCTACTTTGTAAGTTTTATTACCCATAATATCATATTCAATTTTATCGATATTGAATATTTTATTAGACCATTTAGAGTTATACTCCTTTCTGTCGGTGTAATTACCCCTTTTCTTTTGAAACACTTTTACCTTGTCGTTCTCCACTATTCTGGGATACTTTCTTTTGTTTTTTTCTCGTAGTTTAAGATTGACCTTTACATTTATTTCATTCTCGTCCTTGTGTGCTTCAGACGGTGTCATCCTTGTTGATGAGTGAGATGTGCTGTTATACTGTTTCAATGCCGGCGTTAGGGCGTCGGTCCATTTCATGTTGTTAAACCTAACTCTATCGTGAATTTTGTTTTTCATCGTTCTAATAAAACGCTCGGCCACATTTGCGTGGGTCTTCGTAACGATGTGGTTTATTCCTTCACTGTTGAAGAAATCCTGAACGTGATTTTTAGTTGCAAACGCTCCGTCGTCATCAGAATACACGGACATCGGATAACCCATCTTTTTAAAGCTTGCTCTCAACGCCTTCAAAACGTTCTCTCCGTCTCTTTCCTCCATCGGTATTACATCTGCTAATTTACTGAAGATGTCAATCACGACTAAAGCATACTGTGGAACGTTCTTGTCTTTTGCTAAAGGAGACATATGCATTATGTCTATTTGATATTCATATCGTGCGAATGGAGCGGTATAGGAATTAGTTCCTCTATAATTTTTGATTTGTTTATTTGGCTGTTTCTTTAAGAAAGACTTTACATCGTCTAATGTTATTGTTGGGTCTTCTTCCTTTGCCTTCTTGTGTGTCGCTTGTGTGCTTCCGAAACCCTCGTCTAAGTCGTAATAGATGTTGCTGATTATTTGGTCTTTTGTTAATCTCGCCATTATATTAAATTGTTAGAAAATATTTTTTCAATAAAAACCCCGCCCCTTAACATAAAATAAAAAACTACTTAAAGAAATATTAACTTATTATATTAAGTGAAAATATGACTGAAAATGTCGGAGTGATTGCTGACTTATCAAACTGGGTGCTATCAGACGAAGAAGATGATGATAATGACAGTTATAAAAAGGAATTAGATGACGAGTTAAACAAAATAAAGGATTTCGTCAAAAGACACCCTTTGCCATCAGTTGATGAAAACGAAGAATTCTGGAAAGATGTTATTAACAGGTTTAGGGATAATAGCGGATTAAACTTGATGACAATATACTCATTTGTTAGGTTTGACATCATGAAAGAAATGTATGAAAACCTAACAGATGAAAACATCATAAAAGACTGTGGTAAAAAGTTAAACCGAGATGGGCAGTTTAATGCTATGATTATTAACCACTATATCTTATCGGGAGCGATACGGAAACTAAACACAGAAGACAGTCTAGTAGATGGACAGATGCGAATTATTGAATTCTGGTGGGATGGAATAGGTGGATGGAAAGCGTGAGTGATTTAGTTTAATGATATTATTCAATTATAATATGATTAAACCTAGTTTTTATAATCTAACAATGAGGTTAAGACATTTAAATTAAACCTGAAACCCAGACCAGCCGACCAGCAACCCCCTAGCCAAAACTACTTAAAGAAATATTACCTTATATATTAAGAGAAAAATGAGTAAGGGTAAAATGTCAGAGAATAATTTTATGGTTGTGAATTGCGCTAGCTTACCTGAAGGCTTAGTTTCAATCATCACTACTTACATTAATGGTAGTGAAGGGTGGCGAAGACTGAAACAATGTGATGCTTTAAGAGAATTACAAAGGAAATGGAAACCGTCTATTTACACTGAACGAGTAGGAGAAAGTAGATATTATGTTGAGATTCGCAATAAATGCTTAAAAGGTGATAAAGCGCTTTCATATGCGTTGAAACCACCAAAAGAATTATTAAGAATGATGAAGTATGATGAAGAAATACAGGTTGGAATAGTAGTTAGTTCAAAAATTATGTATAATAATAATATTTGCAACAGTCGTTCTTATTCATCATCTAAACAGAATAAGATTTCAAGTAGAGCGTCATTACAATACCATATTGAACAAGCAGTTGAAGAAACCAAACAGACTATGAAACGACACGAAATCATTACTATCGAACATGTTGCAATTGAAATTTATAGAAAACAGAAACAATGATTTCATGGCTTAATCATAATATTTAATTATAATATGATTAAACAGTGTAAACTTTTATAACCTTTCATTATACTGTAATTTCAACCTATAAAACATAACTAGACAATCACATAAAAATCACATAAAAAGAAGTTGTTAAGATATATTAAGAAATGGTTGTGAAGCAAACTATAATGAATAATTATGGAATGACAGAAGAAAAAGCAACAGAAGACTATGGTGAATTCTTCAAATGCAACAGATGTCTTTATGATAAAACAATTGATGAATTTGGAAATGTAAAAAGTGGAAGAAGATATAAATATTGTCAAGAGTGTAGAACAAAAATAAATAATTGTAGAGATAAACGTCAAAGAAACAAACGACCCACCAACACCCCAGAACTTGATAACTACTAAAAGGGCTACCTCTTTCAAATGAAAAAAATGTTTGCCCCCAGCCCAACAATGAACAAGGCGACAATTTACCCAAATGATTACCTTAACGAAAACGATAAATAAGCTCCCTAAAAACCCTCTTTTAAAAACGAATAAGGGGGAACATAGATTTGAGATGAACATAAAAACCATAACAGGCAACCCTCAACAGACTTCCCCCCAGGCCCCCTACTTCTTCTATTTTTTGGGGGGGGGGGGTATACAGGGAGGGGGGGATAAGTTCTTACAAAAGTGGGCATGTTGTAGATCTTTAAATGGGTTCACACATACATAGCATAGGGCCTTGCAGCTGAAGGGACTGTGAGACCTATGTAGGCTTATAAACCCACGACTCCCTAGTCGGGTACCCGTTATGTATATATATATATATCTATATATATATGCTCTTCAAAATAATTCCCCGTGCATGGGCAAAATATGTTTGCATGTTTTAGTAATTCAGTCTCAAATAGTCAAGAGAAAGCACAGGGATAACTGCCATTCCAGGGGTCCGCATCCAACTGTTGCAAAACACCCAACCGAATAACCAGCAAGTACCACGGTGCAAGCCCAAGAAGTGGTTGACGTCCAGTTGAACTCAGGAGCTGAGCTTCAGAACCCTCCGAATGTAATCCTTCCAGGTCCCCAAGTCCCAACTTCGCATCTGAGGTGCTGTGGGCCCACCCGGCGGGTCAGTGGGCAGATACACCTGGCAAGCAGACGGCACGGAAAACCAAAGCAATCGCAACCATTCTAGAAAACATGAACTCTAGAAACCGTGCTAGTAACAAACACACATTGAAGTCTCAATTTACAATTCTAGATGCAAACGAACACACATACCAAGAAGTGAAGGCATCTTTAACCGGCTATCCCATGGCACCCTGCCTACCCGCTACCTCAGAAGTGCGCCCTTTTCGTCCACAACAACCTTTCCCTCTCCCTCAGCTCTTGTTCACATCCTAGAAATCGGGGACAGTCAGCCAAGAACCACCGTGGGTAAGCTCATTTTACACCCAACTGAGCTTGTACTCAAAGGGCCATAGAATATGATACTGTATTGGACAGCATTCAATAGCATGGTACCCCCTATGACATATATTGACCTCGGACAGAAAATTATTGGCATCCACAAAACTCACTTACGCCATTGTTATTGATTAAATGCGTTGAATTCTGCTTGTAGCGCTTCCTTTGAAATGCAGCACAACGACACCACATTTCACAGGTATTGCCGCCAACAATAGCTGTCATTGAAGGAGTCGACCCAAAACCTACGCCAAAACAATGGGTAGATATCCAAATGATAGAACTTAATATGCAAAAACTGCACCTTGGAATGAAACAGACCTCCGTGAACTAAGGGCTAACTGGAACTCTCGTGTGAAGAAGGCTCCTTTACCCCCCAAGGCAAGTTCGTCGCAAACAAGTCAATGCATGTTGGTTAATTAGTTTTACCGAGAAACCAAAGGGGACACCACCATTTGAGGCCCGGTCCCTTAAAACAGACGCACCAATTGCAAGTGACCGGCCACATCCCACCGCAAAAAACCATGGAGGACAAAGTGGTCGAGTGGCAAGGGTCTGGGCGCTTCAACCAAGTTGTCTCAAAATTAGGGAATCCTGGAAACACGCCACTCTAAACTTGGCCAAAATTGGTTTGATTGGGGAAAATTGGCGTTTCCTTTTGGCTTCCCTTTAAACACCATCCAAAAAGCGCCACTCTCACAAGACAGGCCCAAATGCCCCTGCGCCTTCGGCGCCCCGATCCAGCAGCGGAAGAGGGGGCCTCAATTTCCCAGGCGCGAAGGCTACCGCGGTGACGCTTGCATGGATGGGAAGGTCCAGGAGGAGGCCCCAAATACGGATTTTCCTTGGTGGTCCCTGAAACAACTTAAAAACCACGGGGTACCCGGTATTCTCAACAAGACACACACAAATGTTGCGGCCCGCCTATCGTGGCGGCACCAGGGCAAGAACAAGGTTGTTGGTAACAAAATCGAGGTGTGTGTGTGTGTGCCTTCTGGAGGGTGCCCCTGTTTGGGCCAGTGGAAAAGGGCAAGCAACCTAAACACACCATGTATGGATATGAATGGGTTGTTCTTGCATTTCGCAAGGGAAACCATCCCTTCCAGTGCTCCCCCATTTTCTAAGAGAGACAACCCGACACGGGAGTGTCTCCCTTGGCAAAAAAAATCGGGCCGGTGTCCCTTTGATCCTTTGCATTCTCCAAAGTCGGGGAACCCTTTCCGTCAGGCAATCATCTGACATATGGGTGTGTCAAAACCACCAGAAAAACCGCCTGTGTGCGTCATGGGTTCTATTTAGCAGGGCAAGCCATTTTGGGTACCCATTTTTGACACAGCCATATGAGCAACTGCCGACATACCGCGCCACCCTTTGACATGTGTGAAAGCCATCGCCTTGCCAGAACGACAATCATTGTCAGTTGGCAGCCACAGGGAATGCGGGCGAAGGTTTCTAGACCCTGTTTCCCCCTCTTCATTCCCTCAACCTTGCAAAAGGAGTTTCTTGCACGCCCTTCAAGGAAATCCATGCCAAAACAAGACCATGCCAAGCTAAAGCACAAAGTTGCCATAATCTTCAAGGATGCGTGTGTGTGTGTGTGTGTGAGAACATCTCCCTAGACAGGAAGACACACAAAACAAAAAAAACACATGCCACAACAACAAGCTCCCCCCGCTGTCTGGTCCTCCCTAAGTAAGCCACATCCAAGGGCTTGTCGTTCACCCGCTGTTTGGGAAAATCATGGACCCTCTTCAACCATGTATTTTCCCCAATCCACAGGGTTGTCCTTTGTGGGTTGGTCGTTGACCACAAACAAACTTCGACATGTTGCTTGTAAACGGAGATCTTTCTCCGCAAAATATTGAAAGGCGGAAGCTTCAACATCAAGAGGGACTCTACGGGGACCCTTAATTACAACCAACAGAACCGCTGCACATGTTTTATGCGAAAGGTGCAGGTCATACCTAGTACCTAGTTGAGTCAAAAAGGTCGACCAGTCGAGTGCTTGTGCCCAAAGAGCAGGGTGTTTTTTCCATGCACCCCACCAGCCCCAGCAGCCGCTTGAGCTGGAGCTAAGCTCCAGGCGCGAGATGGAGCTGCTGGGCAGGTCCTGCAGAATCCCCTCACTTCCCGTCGAGTGGATGGGCTAAAAACAGGGAACCCTTAACTTTTGATTTGCCACTAAAATGGTCCTAACCTGACTAAAGTCCAGGAACTCAGGGAGTGAGTGGTGACTGTTGCAAACACATGAATTGAAACTGTTTTGAGGGAAGAAGCATCATTTCCCACAAAAATGAAGGGTCCACATTTGACCAAATAGCTGCCAAGCTTAACGACTACAAATGCTGTGAAATCCTTCAAGGGTCATGGGGTGTTTTGACCACGGCACGTATACCTGTAGTAGTCCCACCCAAAGGACCCGGAAGCTAAAGGTTAACCTTTTGGGACCTTGCCTAAACATGGTCCAAAATGGGAGGCCCAACTCGGTAACTGAGTAGTACCAAATCATGGGCCGCGATCGAGAAACGAATCACTATGGGTAGCACAACGCCAGGGTCACGGCACTCCGCCGAGAATGTGACGTCGCATTCGCAACGCGTGGCAAGACTCTGCCAAGACCATGCTGCTAACGACTTTTGGGAACCAGAAAAACCGCTGAATCGATTATTGAAGAAGCCAGAAACACTCATTGGGCGTATCAAGCACCCCGCATTCGGAAATCTTCAAAGGCCGTCATCCCTCCAGGCTCCTGCAGGGTGCTCCGTGCATCAGGCCTCGGTGTGCCACTCCCCTGCCCAAAACAATACACATACACACAGTGATGGTTCAACGGTTCAGAACGCATGACTTTGAAACCTCAAAAACAAGTTCGGCATATTGATTGACAGCTTGGATGTGAACAAAGCAGCCAAAGGATATTGCAAGACAGTGGCAAACAACTACTGCAGCAATGACTGTCAGGAGCCCCTAAAGGAGTTTCCTGTCAAAAACCATAATTGCTTCTCCAGGTTTCGGAAAATTGCAATCCTGAAGGGAGTAACATTTGGGGGCCCTAACTCAAAATAGGTCACCGTCGAAAGGTCAAAGGCTACTGTAGAAATCACAAGGCCAAAGGTCGTTTTCGCTGAGCTGTTCCATATTCATTCCACAAGGAAGTCATTCACCATGCATTCACCTCGTCCCTCCGTCGATCCTGTGTCGGGTGTGTTTGGAGGGCTCTCTGCAGACGGTTCCATGGAAGCTTCCAGCAGGGCATTGTGAATAGAAGCATGAACCAAGTCCTGAGAATCCTTGTCATCAGACTTCCGTGGTAGCCAAGGACACATCTTCAAGAGTTGTTCTGGAAGGAAGGCCCCTATCAAGTGCGTGTGGTCAGAAAAATGCTTCAACAAATGCATCGTTGTAGCTTATGCACGGACGGATTCGCAATATAACTTGTTGCAGTGATCTTCCCGGCAAGGACATATCTTTGGCTGTCATGCCTGTTGGCTGTCAACATCGCCCATGATGCACACGCTAGGGCCCTCGCGCAACTTCCCCGGAGCCCTGCCACAAGTGGGTCGCCAGTCGGCAGACATGTCTTTCTGTGCATCAATGCTTCCAAAGAAGTAAGGGGAATTTGAGGACCCCTGTCAATTATCCTTTATGGGCAGCTCCTACTGTAAGTAGCCCCCCCACACAAAAAAAAAAAGTAATCAAAAAACAAACAAAGCAAACGAGTATACATTTCATGCATAGGGGGTCCAGGTTAGGCCAGACAGTTCTTGACGCCAGAGATGTGATATCTCCGAGCGGTAACTGCTTCTGCAGCCGGTCGTCAACAGTGATGAAACAAAACATTGCCAAGGTCAAAGCTCCTGATTTGAGCTATGCTTGGGTTTCCAAAAAGGAACCCTTGTCATGGGTGTCAACATGTCCTGTTTTGGGGTTCATGACCGCCTCTACCCCGAATACAAGGGCATTTTGAGCATTGCACATGTGGGATAGCAACCCGCAAACCGCGATGGCAAACTAAATTTGGTTGTGCCTTTGTTGAGGCGATTTTTTTTGGTTGGTTTAAAGCACAACCGCAAGTTTGGTTCCCAAAAGAAAAGACATGCCCATTTATCGAAGGAAGACGAGTTCCTGATTTTCACCCATTGCAAGCAATGGTACTGTGTGAGGTGTGTCCGAGGGTGTGGGGATGTGAATGCAAATGCTGTCTGCTTCAATGCTGAAGGGACGGCGTTGTTGTCCAACGCCAACCCTTAGTTTACTGATATTTCTAAACAGCTTGTTGTGTCCAGCTCTCCCCCGCCAAGTAAGAACAAACAAAAGAGGCCGGGATCCAGCTCAACGGGAACTAAGAAGTCATGATCAAAGCTCCAAGCTTTCATTGTGCTCCCAAATGTACTGGCTGATTGACTCACTAGTTTTTTGTTAACATCCCCCGCCAAAGAAGAACACCTAGGTGTGTGCCGTGTCCCGCCAGCAAGCCCCACTCACCTGCTGCCCTAACTTGCCCGCTGAGCATGGGGAAAAAACAAACCTGAGCTTGCTTGGTTCGTCTGCTGCCCAGTGCAAATACCTACCATGCACAGGACATAGATGCGTTCAATCAAGGCCAGCAGATACTAACAAACCAAGAAACTCAAGAGTTAAGTCTTAAAGGAACTGGCTCCACCAACCAAAAGCTGAAACGTGAAACCGCGCAACAAACTAAAATTATTATAGAGCTGCTAACAACACACACACACACACACACACACACACACACACACACACACACACACACACACACACACACACACACACACACACACACACACACACGCTCCACATCCTCCATTTGCTTTAGTCACCTGAGCAAAAGCAACATTCTCCAGTAATGATAGATTCCCGTTAAAACCACCAGGGAAAATCACACATAACTTTCATTTCAGCAACTGGAAGACATCAAATCAATCCCCATCTCAGGAAACTTTGGGTTCCCAGTGCCCCCAAAAGCTCCACTTCCGGCCCCGCCTTGGGCTTCAGCGCGTGCACCAGCTGCAGAAGCTGGTCCTTCGATTCCAAGGGGACATCGGTCGCTTCCGAGGTTTGGGGCCCCATGGTTTGAAGGTTCTCACAAGGCGCCGGCCAAAATCTGCGGCGCGAGCGACGGCCGAGACTTGCTCACGGAGCGCTGGCTTACTCGGAATCGCAAGATCCAAAGCAGGCTGCTCAAGGTCCAAAGCTCCCGGCGCACACCCTGGAAGGCATCCCACTTCGAGTGCGGGGTTTGTGAGCCACTGTGCAGCACAAAGTCATGTCGCCACACAGCACCAAAGCGCCGCACGCCGCAGCATAGCAAAGTGGTACCAGACGATACCGAACACCAAACAAGTCGAGTTGTTGTAGGTGTTCATACGAACAGATCTCTATTAAGGGGCTTTGTATATTGACAAATCCAGGTAAGTCAGACCAGTGGCAGGTTGAAAAGCCGCCGGTCTCGGACCCTCAAAACCCCCAGAAAGAGTCGAAATATGACCCTAGCAAGACACCGACGGGAAACTGTTAAGCACGATCTGCTCGAATGCTTCAATCGACCTTTCTCAGTTCTGAGCAAACTGCCACGAAAAAGGTGTGCAGTCTATGCCCATCAATCCCTCACAGAATTGCCTTCTTGCCAGATATTTCAAGCGTCGGTCACATTTCCAGCATCTTAAAGGAAATACGCAAAGGACCAGGACAGTTGAGAGAGCCATCATGCTTCCCACCCGAACATTTCCTTGAAACTGAATTAAGGAAACGTTAACCAAACTGGCAGTAGAACATAACAATAGCTTTAGGGGCCCAATAATAAGGGCTCAGCATCTTTTGCGAGAGGGATTCGGCCACTGCAAACTGCGATACTTCCATCTGGGAAATGAAAATTAACTTTCAAGCAACCAAACCAAGGGGGTGTCAGCATCTGTGGCTGTCAGGGCTGATTGAACATTTCCCGCTGTGGTAAAAGCATTCTCGGGATTCTTGGGGGGGGAAAAACAACGACAACACATTCACCGAACAATTCCTGGCTATTCACCACCGGGTGGCAGTTCCCTGCGCGACCGGCTCGCCTCTCGGTCGCTCGCGTTTTCTTTGCGACCTGGGGCCGCGCGCCAGATCGCGGCGCCGGAAAAGCAGGGCCAGCTGCTCCAGCCGGATGCCTGAGCTAGAAAAGGCAACACAACTCGCCCTTTTGGCCACTAAAATGGTCTTCAACAAAAAAAATAAAGTCCAGGATTTCCACATAAACAGTTACAGTTCACTAGTGGTTTCCATTGAAATAATCGCCACTTTTGGAAGTTCCACAAAGGAGAATGAAGGAACTCCAAAGGACCCAACAGAGGTAGCAATGGAACCCCTGTCCAGGGGCAAATACAAACTCCCAAGGACCCCCAAGTTTAAAGGTTTGATGAGGGCTAACGTGGTATTTGGAAGATTGAAGGGGGGGCCTGGGGAGCCCCATTTTTCCTCAAGGGGTTCAATTTTTTGAAACGCCACCAATCCAGAATCAACACCAAGGGTAATTTGAGACACTCATTCATAGAGATGAGTTCAAAGGGAACTCCAAAGGACCGTCGAGCAAGGGCTTGGCCACTGGCAAAAAGACTGCCCGGGCTACATTGCCCGCGACCTCCGGGAGGCAACTTGCAGGGGAAAACAAGGGAATCCAAATGATGCTCATTGCCAGACTAAACTCATCGTTTTGCCCTTTTGCCCCTTTGCGCTTCCTGCATGCTCTGTGAACCAGCAACGCATTGATCTGTTGCAGGGGGTCGAAGTCTGGCTATGAAAACAACTCTCAAAGGCGCCGACCACCTGGCTGGGACTCACACCCAACTTGGGCACGTCAGGGCCCTTCAGCGGCGCCAGGAGGGTGGCTTGAAGCCTCAGCGCGACTTTGATGATATGTCTCTTTGTGAGAGTACCCGTCTTTCTTTTTGTGGCTTTATATCTAAATTATGTAAGAAAGCCACCATTTTTTGGGGGTCCGCCTTGAAACACAAGCACACCCATATACCTACGCTTTGCAAGTGGGTTATAACTTGTAACGTATAACTGCAGGGTTGTGATGGAACAGGGGGTTGGCTGACGCATAGCCATGGTATTACCTACTTTGTGAGGTCGTCACATCAAGATTATACTCCGTACAAGAAGGTCAGAAGATGTTCAACCTTAGACCATTCAGCAGGGGTTGGGTGTTCACTAGCCTTGGCTATGCCGCACTGAAGTAACGTAGTTGTTTCACATCCAAGCACATTCGCAGTTCTGGACGGTGTGTGCTCAGGGTCAAACCTTTTCTGCCACTGAAAACGTACACCATGCGCCTTGTGGAGGTGTCCATAGCCAAAGGGAACGCTGGAAAGCCTTTGAGAACGAACAGGTCCCAAACCAAACGAACAAACCCCCCGTGCTTTGAGCCTCGGCCAGTTGGTGAAGTTGGTATGTGAAGTTTGGCAATATGTTTTCCGTACAGGAAAAAAAACAACTATTTCAACGTAAACTCTCAATAGTGTCCGGACAAAGGACTCAGCTCATGACAAGTGTTGCAATGGGCATGACCTTCAGCTGTTTGGGGGTAGGTGCCCGTTTGTCTCGAACATTTGCATTTGTTGGGTACAATTTCCAACATCACAACAATTGTTATTATGATAATTCCCCGTGTGTATATGTGTGTATGACTTGGTCGAATTAATGCCAACTGAGCACACTCCCATTTTCTGGTAATAAACGCGGCATAAGTCCCCGGCATTCTTATTCAAACCCACCCCCAAACCTCCCATCCAAGTAGAAAAATGGCTTGCGCTCGTTTTACCCCCACACCCCACCCCCAAACCCAAAACCTCCCCCCCCCCCAACCTCCCCCCAACCTCCCCCCCAAACCTCCGGGCCCAAAGCCGAGGGCCCGGGCAGCGTCTCCGCCGCCGCCTTGGGCGCCAGCAGGCGCCGCTGCTCCAGCAGCAGCTCCGCGGCGCTGAGCTTCAGCGCCGCGAAGAGGCCCGTGACTTGGCCGCGCCCTGCGAGGAGGTTGGGGAGGGGGGGGGGAGGAAGGCGGGGGGGAAGGAAGGAAGGCGGGGGGTTGGGGTGGGGGAGTGGAGGGAGTGGGGTGGGGAGGCGGGGGGTTGGGGTGGGAGGGGGGGAGGAGGTGGCAGAAACATGGGCCGCTCCAGTCATTGGTGGGCAACGGGGGGAGGGAGGGAGGGGAGGGAGGGGAGGGAGGGAAGATGGACACTTCAGGTCTATTCGGAAAAGGAAAATCCGTTCAATATCTCAAAAAGTGACGTCCCAAATAAAAGAAGAAAATGCCAACTGCTCCATGTCTGCTAGTTCAGAAAGCGACGGAGTTGATCGGCAAGAAATGGGAGCCCTGTTGTAAAATATCCAAATCTAGATTCTATTTGGGTTTGTCATCATGAATTTCCCGAAATTGTTTGTTGATTTCATTTGGCTCGCTTCAAGAACAAAAAACCGCTCTCAAACAAGATGCACCCAATTTGCATTCAACGCTTACAAACCAACAGGCCGGGCCGCTTGACCTGCTTGGCCGATTGCACGCCCAGCCTTTGCTGTCAGTCAGCACAAGCACCCGCAGATCAACACCTCAGGTCACATGGCGACATGATGTCATGGTCAGACTTATGGGTTTCCCGTAGTCCGGATATTGGACAATTCAGTGAGTCTCCTGGTTTCCGTGGGCATTTGTCGTGAGTCCGTCATGTCCTTCTATCGACCAGATCAGATCGACTCCCTCAGCTGAGCGGACGGGCCAACAAAAAGTCTAAACTTGTTGTTTGCCAGAACGCATCAAGTTCAGGAACTCAGGAAGCGAGTCATAGACTCCTGGAACTGCCGACCCAACCTTACGTGGTACAGCTTTGAACATGCAATCTGCGGCTTTCAAACTGACCTGAACCCGAGCAAAGGGATTCCCTATCAACTTAAATGCACAAATGGGTGCAGCCATCCCCCAGGATAGCAAACAAGAAAACCTCCAAGCAGGCACGACCTCTCCATCACCCCCCCCCCCCCCCGGAAGAAAGGACGAGACGGAACCTCCCCATCTACCCCGCCGTCCCCGCCTCGAGTTATCAACCTCTAAGTCGGGGGCATTCGCTGTCGTGTTTAACCGCAAAAAGACCCCAACTCCATCATTCCCACTCCAAGGATTTTCACCCCTCACCTTTAAGATATCTTAGGGGACCATCTGCTTTTTCTTTCAGACCACCAAGGACACCCATCACCTTGAACATGACCCTGATATTTTACAACATACATTCCATTTCTTCAACACATCCTTGCTGGGTGGCCACACCCTCCAGGGCCGCGTTGGCTTGGCCGGCGCCTGGAGCGGGCGAGGGACAAACGATTGAGCCTCACAGGTTGTTTCGCGCCCATCAAAATGCGTGTTCAACCGCCCCAAGCTGCTTTTGGAGCCCGTAAACAGAGAGGGCATGCTACTCGTCGGACTTCTTGAGAGGCAACATGGAAGAAAGAAACAGGTTGGGTTGGAAAATCGTGGCGCCTGGAAACAGGTTATTTCTGTCTTGTTTCCCCGAGCCCTTGACAACAGCCGCCAAATCGAAAGGATGACTTCCAACAAAGACAGTCGCAGATTTTCCAAGAACATTCAACCATACCTTTTGAGCTTATTCCAGCCCTGCCGTCATGAGAATTTCTGTCAGAAAAGGTTTGGGATATGCTCAAAGCTCTCGACAATGGCACTATGATTAAAGGAAAAACTCGGGCAACTGCCAATGCAACAATGATTGATCCTTCCAAGAATAACAAGTATGTTTGAAGAACCTGCTGTGGTTTGGCAGTATCAAAATTATGTGTTTTGGATGATCGTAAGTGGGGAACGGGAGTCTAACAAACATTGAACATTGGCAACATGATGAAGCCAGGCGCAACTTGTGGAACGATGCCTGGACCATGCGGAGATTGCGGCAGGGCTAATTCACAGGGATGCAGTTGAGCCCCTGAAAGTGCACTGCCAAACCTCTGCAATATAAGCCTCACAAATGTTGATACAGCTCAGCCTCGCAATGTGAGGTTGCCAACGAGTGCTCATGAAACAATGCGCCAGCTTCGCCTTGTACCAGTGGAACACCTTTCGGAACATAACAGCTTGTGGATTCAATGGCCACTTCCGCTCTCCGTGGACTCCGCTGGGCCGTTTGGATGGCTTGACTTTCGATCTTGACACATGAGTGTCAGTTTCTTTCTTGCACAAAATAGAAAGCAGGTTCAGCTTTTGGGGCCGTGACTAACAAAAAAGCGAAAACCAATGTTGGGCAGCTGAGAAACAACGGGCTGCTCAAACAACGCCCAGTCATGAGCCGCTCACCACTCAACGCCGCCTGCACTTGGGTACCTGTCAAAATAAGGGTATCCCAAGAGCGGATTTCCGTTTTCCTTTTTGTCTCTTTAAACCCTAAAAAGGGATCAAAAGGGATCCAACAAAAACATACACACCCATTTTACCCCCGATAAATGCATTTGTCATGTTCATGTTCCCTTTGCATCAACCCCGGTAATCGAGGACCCAAAATAGGCCGGACCTGGGGCCAGGACCCTTCCCTTGTCAGCCCCAAGCGGATTGCCCGGAGCGAAGCCGCGGATCGAAGCCCCGCCTCCCAGGTCCAGACGATCGGCCAAGGACACGCTGGCGCCCTTCATCTGAAAGGTCTCGGCCGGGCCGGGAGAGGAATTCGGCCAACGGAAACCCGACCGAAATATCAAAGTAAACAGACCCAAAACACGCGCCCAGACAAACACACACCGAAAGGACACTCACCAACTGAATATATCCCAAAATGTCCAGCTCTGTGTCCTTTGTTTATCTATCGAGCTTCTGTGCTTTTATGTGTGTATCCTTCCTTTCTCTATGCATTCATTTGTTCATGTGTTTGCTTGCTCTTTCCAACATCACACAACCACCAATAGAAAAGCTCACTCTCAATTTGCACTTTCAAATATCAGCAGACCCAAAGGAATCTCACCCAACATATTAGCTCCCCAAGAGGAAATTGTTAAATTCCTTGAAGCCGAAATGCAGGGAAAGCTGCGAAGCTTTGGTCGAATCAGTTAGCCCCTTCTTTGGACAGGGTTCTCTTCGTCGGCCCCCTGAATGGGTCCTTTCTTTGTCAATGGATGCTCGGATGCTCCACCTACCTCCCTCGTACGAGCACAGCACCTCAGACTGGCCCCGTGCATGGCTTGAATGTTCCACGTCAACCAGGGAGGTATACGAAGTATCCCCACCTTTTCGGGGTCAAGGACTCAACCACAGGGGTGATAAATATATTCCAAAAAAGAATCCTTGCAGAACACCAACACCCGACCACCCGACTAGATCTGGGCTTCAGGTGCGGTTTCCTGAGCTCCCGGGCGGCTTCCACTAGCACAGGCAGGTCCGGCTCTCGCACAGCATAGCCCTGCCAGTATGACTCTGCCTCGGCACTGCTTCAAGCACTAGTGTCATCTGCAGGTAACGGAAACTGCAAGCCTTTTGAAGCATCTTCTGTTGTACCTGAAACACAGCCGCTGTCGCATCGTCTGTTACGCAACATGGCCACCCTTGTGATATGTACAAGAAAACAAATGTATCTCTCGGCGGTTCATTTATTCAGCCTTTGGGACAAGCAAAAATTGCATATCCATCTTCTGGCCCAGTACAATCAGTCATGCCAAAATGGACATCCATCCCCCAATGTTTTGTGTTGACACGGTCACTTGTTCAATGCAAGGGGACGGAGATCACTGTTTGGCTCTTTGGGGCGAGTTGGGTGCGGCATGTGTCTAACAGCTCCCGAATTAGGGAGTGTCGTTGTGAATACAGCATTCAAGCAAGAAACACGCAGGGACGATGTCGGGAAATACACTCAAAGGAATCTATCTATATGAGATGTTCCCTTGTGGAGGGATTCCCCAAAATGGAATGGCTTCACCTTGGCCGCCAACCGTAATTGAATGAGTCGTCTCCGAAGAATAACACAATCATATCCCTTGTTGGCTTCCTCGTCCCTCTCTGCCGGAGGGCTGAACCACGTGCCGTGCAAAGGAGCCCCCAGCACAGAAAAAGAGAGAGGGAGGGAGAGTGAGGGAGTGAAACTATACAGTATACGTAGACACCATTGCAATGCCCAAAGCACCGATCCAGGATAGGTATGGTCTCGGTTGCTTTCTGCTCCCCTGCTAAAAGCTTGACTTTTAGTGGTTTAATGGAAAACAAATTAGTTGGCAAAAAGTTAAAGTCTTAACATCCAAGCAAAATGCACCAAAGTGGTCATACATGCCATCTATATATATATATATATATGCGCATACAACAATTGCGACGTTTCCCAAGCAAAAGCCTGGACGTATAGAGCTCCCGGCAACGGTCTCGTCTTCCAAGGGCTGCTCCTGCAACGCCCGGGTTACACCCGTCCTTCCAAACCAAACACAGCACCCCAGGACACCCCCTTTTGAAGAGACTCACTTGGACAAACATGGGGAATGGTGTTCGGGGCAGCTGTGTGGTTGAAGGGTCACAGGAAGAGTTGTTTTAATGAGGGTGGGCAGAAAAAAGTGGAGTCAATAGGAGTATCGCCCAATTGTCCATTTGTGGCTTCCGTTGTTGGAGTTGAACGATGGGCCTACTTGCACAGCGATCATGCGAAAAAAAAGAGGACAACCTGGAGGACCTAAGGAAACCATTGACAACGAGGGCACGCACACATATCTATAAATATGTATATATATATAATTGCATATACATATATATATATGTATACGCATATGTGTTTGGTGGGTGCTTCGCACCCGCAAACAAGCTGAAAAAGAGGGCTGCCATCGGGCAATTAGCTTGGTGAAAAGCGCATGTGTCAACTCATTCTCGTCGAATTCTCCCCGAAAAACCAAGAGAGAACCTAACAGCACGTTTGTCAAGGAGTCTGCAGTTGTTTTGGGCAGCCGCCTTCCTTTTCAGGTTCCATGTTGCTTTTCAGGCGCTTGAATAGCTAATGGGAACCTGGGCGTAATGAATCCAGAGTTGATTAATCAGTGACATCCTTCACGTTCAAAGGCTTGCTTCTCTATTTGCCACTCATCACCAAGGTCACTGTCGGGTGGTGCGGAAGATTTGGGGCTGCTTTCTGGCAGCTGCGTTCTGGGTGTCGACAGCGATTCACGAATGCAAAAACACGTTGCACACATCCCAGTCGTACTGGGACCCCACAAAAGACTCTTGCTAGGTTCTGCACAGGAAAACTGGGGCTACCTGCACAGACTGGGGGCCCATCAGTTTTCCAACAGGGCACACGGGAAACACAGCAAAGGACATTTAGTGAACCCCAGGTCCCGAACCCCAAATGGGCGTCTCTTTTTTGCGGGTCCCAAAAATGGCAGCTTTCCTTTGGTTTTAGACCAACAAAGATAGAGACCCAAAACAATATTTGACTGGAAGCTATCTGCTTCGAATTCTTGGGGCCTCCGAGCGGAGCGAGCCTCAGGCATGAATGAAGGCTTTGCCGTTCCCGTTTTTAGGAACAGCAAAGAGTGAAAACGGGGAGGGCAAAGCAACTTGCCAATGGCCAAGTCTTTGTCCGAAACAGGAGGCTCCCTGCATGCAGAACTAGCGAACACCCATGAATTAGTCGTATTCACTCAGATTTAAGAAGGAAGCAACCCTGCACACAGCTTCCCTCCAGTTGAGCGTCGCTTTGTATTCCACGTCCCACGTCCCTGTTGCGCGCCAGGGTTCCTTCCACGGGCTTTACAAGCGCTGCTTCAGCGAGCATCGCGGAAAGGGCTGCTCAGCTCATAAGCCACAAAGCTTCCGCGAAGCTTCCACGTGCTTCCTCGTGTGTGTGGTGCGGTGCGCAACATCTAGAATCATGTCCCTCTCCCCACTTTCAAATTGCGGCGAACAGACACGGCGCTCCATGGGTGGTTTGGATCGGTGGTTTGGAGGTCGAGACGTGATGGCGGCCCTAAGCCAGGGGTTGTCCCCAACCACTCCACCTAAAGGCCACCCGATGAGTTCAGAGTTTGGAACAGAACCGGTCCTGTCCCATGCATCCCACCGCGTCCGCGGCTCCTCCGGCTTCTCGCTGCCGAGCTCGTCTTTTGGATCCTGCGGCTCGCTTCGCCCCCATCCCCCCCGTTTCAGTCAGGCCTGCAATGAGATGGATGTGTTTTTTCGGGAGGTGGTACGCTTGTCGACATTTTGTCCACCTTAACATGCAAATGCAACGCTTAGAATGTTCGACACGCTCATTTGTAGAATGGTTCTCTTGAAATATAGTGCAGGCCACACCTGAGACAGTTTGCGCGGGCCCAAAGGAGAAAGCCGATGAAACAGCTTGGGGGTCAGGTTCGCCCTCCATGGTTAGTATGCGTTTAATGTAATGGTTAGCATTTCTTAGTACTGCCTTAGTGCTGGTTTAGAGTTGGTTTAGTAGTGGCTTATGGTTGTTAGTGTTCAGTGTCGCCTCAATGCTAGTTTAGTAGTTTAGTAGTTTAGTGTTTGGCAGTTTCTGCGAGGGAAATTGCTTTTGAGTATCTGCGCCTCGGTTCC